TTTAAGGTTATAGTGAAGCTTAGATGCTTTGGCAGAAAAGATGTGTTGAAAGTTACGGACTGCAAATTTTTTGTTAGGAATATGTTGAAGTGCTGCAGTAATAGTGCTAGTTTGGATTTTGTGCTATGTGGATTCTAAGGATTCTGTAGTATTAGGTGTATAAGGGGTGTTGTTAGTTTGGAGGTTGGATGTGATTTGATCTGAGTAGCTTAATCATTGTTCTTCATTCATGTTTTTATATTGAAAAATTCTTCTTTTAGTTTTGGTTGAATGTCAATGTTTTCCTGTAAGTGCATATGGGAAGGACCAAGAAAATATTAGAATTTTGTGATTACTTTTGGTATAAGTGTCGGTATCCTCAAGATAAAATGAGGTTAAGTAACAGAGGACAGGATGATAAGACCAGATATAGTCGATATGACTACTACTATGTCTGCTATTGTGTAATGTGGTGTTTATAGATTGTGTATAGACTGCTAAGTCATATAAGTTGTTGTATTAAAGGAAATAAAGAAGCTTATATTTGATAGAAGAAGATTGTGTATTGTTACTAGAAGCATTAAAGTCTCTTATAACTATAGGTTGATTATTTAAATAGCTTGTTGAATCTATTGGATGATGGTGTTTTGGGTTTGTAAACAGAGTTGAAAACTATCACAAGGCAGGTAGATATTAATGATTCTAAATTTAAAGTTATGTTTAAAGAAAAGGTCGATAGCAATAGCATATCCTGATTCAATAAGAATATTGTGAATATGTAGTTTAAGTTGGTTTTGGATCATAATAGCAACACCTGCTTTGGCACTATCTGTGCAGAACTAAAAGTAAATAAAGAGTATAGATTTTTGAAGTTGAGTAATTGCATTGTCTTTAGAAATCTTAGTTTCTGTGATATGAATAATATTGAGGTTGTTAGAAAGACAAAAGTCTTTCCAGACTTGTTTTTTAAGATCTTCATTATATCCTCATACATTATGAGTACAAATTGATAAATTAAAACTCTGATTTGGTAAAGTAGTAGAGCAATTATAGTAGTAGGGCTCTGTTATAGTATTAGAGCTTGGGTTTGGTAATTCAAATAATGATAGTTGAGTTGGTATAAGTATATCTGGTGATGAGAGTAGATTTGGAGTAGCTGGTGATGCTGCTGATTGTGGTATAGTAGTTGTAGTTCTGCAGTGAGAGATTCAGATATTGATGGTGGAGTTGCTAAGAAAAGGTCTGTTAGTGTATTGAATATAATATGGCTATTAGATTTAAGAGTAATATTTTGATAATATTTCAGATTTTCTCTAAGTGGGACAAAATGATTTGGTAGTGGTTTAGGTTCGAAAGGTAGATATATATGTGCTTCAAAGTAGTCTTTTTTAATAGAAATAATAAGGGTATTGAAATGAGAGTTTTCTAGATTATAACCAAAAAGGCTAAGGTGTTTGAGAAATAAGATAATAGTTTGTAGTTCAGGCAGTGTTGGCAAGTTATAGTATCTGAGAAATCTGTTAAAGCATAGATGTGATGAATGTGGAAGGGGTTTTGGGTCTGGGTTAGTAGTATGTTTAATATTATAAAGGTTAAGACGAACATCTTGTTGAAAGTAAAAATATGGGTTGTAGGTCCAGTCATCTTTAACCAGATTAGAAATAGTTTCTGATTTAATAGAGGTGATATCAGAGGTGAAGAGGAGAATGAAAGGAAAGTATTTGTAACTTTCAACTGGTATTGTAAAATAATCATGCCATGCAAATCTGTGTTCAGATCCAGGATAAACATATGCAATGCTGTAGTCTTCTTTAATTAATAAATAGAATAAGGAGTTGTATACATTATTAAGGTTATAGTAGAAGGATTTAAGGTGTTTAATAAAAGAATTAATAGTTTGAGATATGGAAGTGGAGGAAGATTGAGAGATAATAAGATTTGATTATAATATGTATTAAGATTGTATGTGATTATGTGTGGTTTATTAATGTAGACAGTATTTGTATTTGGATAGTTAATATGTTGGGTTGGCTCATCATAGGAGTCTAAAGATGTTGAAAATGATTTGCCAGTAATAGAGTTGTCTTCTACAAGGTCGTTTGCTGTTTCAAGCTCGGTTTTTACAGCTGCACAGGATTCCATAGTCTGTTCTGTACGTTGGGTCTGACCATCATATAAATGGTTCTCTGCATAAATGGGCTTGCCCGCCCGCCCACTTACATCATTTTTCTTATCAATTACAGTGAATGTATCATTTGATAAGGTGGCGGCTGCATCTATGGTTATAGAAGACAAAGTTATTGAAAAAAGGTCTCTTTAAGGAAAAGAGACTCATTGATAAGAATAGGAATTTAAAAAGTAATGTTGAATTTTTCTTGAAGGTATTTGTCTGCTTCTGGATAAGCAATTTCCTGATAGTATTTCACCATTTAAGGATATGAAAGACATTGATCATAAGTGTCAAGTCATGTTATGACTCTTGCAAGAGAGTCAGTACTAATTGGCTGTTTGGTTAAGAATTCTATAGCTGATTTTTTATCTAAGTTTGAGATTTCAAGATTTAGCATTGCATTTTTTTGATAGGCTTCTAGGTATAAGTAAAAGAATAGACTACATCTGTCTTTGTTATTTTTTGTAGAATTAGTTTCACAGAAAGATTTTTCAGCTTCAGTTGCAAAGTCATCTAAGGTTTTAGTTAGGATTGATTTAAGGAAGGTGGCCTCATATTTTGCCTTCTTGAAAAAGATTGTTTCATCTATTTGAAGTTCTTTGGTTGGCTATTCTGCATAGGATTTATTAAGGAATTGTTTGTATAGTTTGTTAAAATTATGTTGAATACGAGTTTCAGGTGGGTTTGTGTTTTCTGTCTCAGGCTCAGTTGTGGGTAATTTGGCTTTCTCTTTAAGCTCAATTTTTTCTAAGTATTGGCATTAGACATTTGAGCAAGTAAGGATGTGATAATTAGCATATTTAATGTACTCATCACAACGTTCTTGAAAGGTAAGAGGTTCTGTAAATAGAACGTCTATTGGAATTTGTTCTTTGAGGTGTGAGATAAAAGCCTGTCTAAAGTGGTATTTAAGATAATTAGATACTTTTG